CCCACTTACTTATTTTAATCAATTTAATGATGCTCTGTTCTCATACCATATCTTCTATATATTAAATTTTGTGGAATTGTCTTTTTGTTCACACTCCAATGTTGACCAAAGACTCAAAAATCAACCCATAACTCCCCCTTCGTTTTTCCGACCGCCATGATCACCGGAATGCAGTTCGTACTGCTACTGAACTTCATACCCATTTTGGTAAATTCACAATCTCCGGCCACCACCAATGAACGTGATATTCTACTGAAGATAAAGCGTCAATGGGGAAACCCATTATCACTCAGCTCATGGAACTCTACTTCTTCGCCGTGTGATTGGCCGGAAATTGAGTGCTCCGATGATGGAGAAGTTACCGGAATAATACTTCAAGAAAAAGATATCACTGTCGAAATTCCAAGTTCCATTTGTGACCTCAAAAATCTAACTTTTCTCAATCTTGCGTTGAATTATCTCCCCGGAAAGTTTCCAACTTTTCTATACAACTGTTCAAGTCTTGAACACTTGGACCTTTCTCAGAATTATTTTGTGGGTCCCATTCCGGCGGATATTCACCGGCTTCAGAAACTCAAGTATCTTGATTTGGGTGGTAACAACTTCACCGGAGATATCCCGCCGGCGATCGGAAATTTAACGGAGTTGGAGAGCTTGTTCTTGCATATGAACTTGTTTGATGGAACATTTCCGGCAGAAATCGGAAATTTAGCCAATCTTGAAAATCTGGGGTTGGCGTTTAATGGGTTTTCTCCGGCGAGAATACCGCCGGAATTTGAGAAGCTGAAGAAAATGAAGTATTTTTGGATGAGACGGACGAATTTGATTGGCGAAATTCCTGAAAGTTTTGGGAATTTTCAAAGTCTTGAGCATATTGATTTGGCTTATAACAATCTTGAAGGAGAAATTCCATCTGGATTGTTCTTGTTAAAGAATTTGACATATGCTTACTTGTACAGTAATCAGCTTTCGGATCTGATTCCTGAAACTAATAAATCATCAAATTTGATTGAACTTGACGTTAGCTCAAACAATTTGACTGGGAAAATCCCGGAAAGTATTGGAGAATTGAAACAGTTGGAAATTCTGAATCTGTTTTCAAACCAATTGTATGGAGAAATTCCACAAAGCATAGCCAAGATTCCAACTTTGAAGGAATTCAAAGTGTTTAGGAATAAATTGAATGGGAGTTTACCATCTGAAATAGGATTTCATTCAAAGCTAGAAGTTTTTGAAGTTTCACAGAATTCATTCACTGGAAATATGCCTCAGCATTTATGTGCTGGAGGGACTCTCTTTGGTGTGGTAGCTTATGTCAACAATTTATCAGGTGAAATACCAAAATCACTTGAAACTTGTTCTACTTTACGTACGATCCAGCTCTATAAGAATCAGTTTTCAGGGCAGATTCCATCTGGAGTTTGGACTTTGGTTAACATGACAAGTTTGTTATTGAATGATAACTTGTTTTCGGGGGAGTTACCGAGTAAAGTTGCATCCAATTTTACGCGGTTGGAGATCTATAACAACAAGTTTTCAGGTGAAATTCCAGTGGGAATATCTTCTTGGACTAGTTTGGTTGTACTTATGGCGAGTAACAATTCGTTTTCGGGGCAGATTCCAGTGGAGCTGACTAGTCTTTCTAGGCTAACTCGGCTGGAGCTTGATGGGAATTCATTTTCTGGAGAAATTCCAGCAAATATAACATCATGGAAATCTTTGACAAATTTGGATCTTGCTAAGAACAAACTCTCTGGTAAGATTCCAGCAGCTTTAGGTTTAATCCCTGATCTTGTTGCTCTAGATTTGTCTCAGAATCAACTTTCAGGTCCAATTCCACCTCAATTAGGTGTAAAGAGGATCACTAGCCTTAATCTATCTTCCAATCAACTTATCGGAAAAATCCCAGATTCATTTGCTAACTTAGCCTTTGAAAACAGTTTCTTGAACAATCCCAACCTTTGTACCAGCAACTCACTTCCATATCTTCCAAATTGTAATGCCAAAGTCAGTAATTCAAAAGGATTGTCTCATAGAGTTCTAGCCCTGGTTCTAGTCCTTGCAATCGCTGTTTTCGTATTTACTGTCCTATCGACCTTGTTCCTGGTCAGGGACTACAAGAGGAAGAAGCATAAGCGCGATGTTGCAAGTTGGAAGTTGACTTCATTCCAGAGATTGGATTTCACTGAGGCAAACATTTTGTCAAGTTTGACTGAAAATAACATGATTGGAAGTGGCGGATCAGGAAAGGTGTACAAAATTTGCATTGGGAGATTGAATGAATACATTGCTGTGAAGAGGATTTGGAGTGATAGGAAAGTAGACTACAGGCTCGAGAGAGAATTCTTGGCTGAGGTTCAGATATTGGGATCAATTAGACATTCCAATATAGTCAAGTTATTGTGTTGTATTTCGAGCGAGGATTCAAAGTTGCTCGTCTATGAGTACATGGTAAATCACAGTCTTGATAGATGGCTTCATGGAAAGAAGAGATGTTCATTGAATAATAAAGTCATGGATTGGCCAACAAGATTGGAAATTGCCGTTGGATCTGCTCAAGGACTTTGCTACATGCACCATGATTGCACTCCACCAATCCTTCATCGCGATGTGAAATCCAGCAATATCTTGTTGGATTCTGAATTCAAGGCAAAAATTGCTGATTTTGGCTTGGCTAAGCTCCTAGATAAGAAAGAAGAGCTTCACACCATGTCTGCTGTTGCTGGTTCATTTGGTTATATTGCTCCAGGTAAAAGCAAAATCCAAGCTTGAACTTTTTTCTGCAATGAACCCTTTACCTCAATTTCTTTTAACATTATCAAAAGTACGACTAACGAAGAATTTTTTTGTTTGGTTACAGAGTATGCTTATACAACGAAAGTGAACGAGAAGATTGATATCTATAGCTTCGGAGTGGTACTATTGGAGCTAGTGACAGGAAGACAACCAAATTTCGGGGAAGAGCATATGAGCCTTGCAGAATGGGCATGGAAGCAGCACGGAGAAGGGAACAATGCCATCGATAATATGTTAGATTCAGAGATCAAGGAAGCATGTTACTTGGAAGAAATGAAAACTGTTTTCAGACTCGGGCTTATATGCACAAGCAACATACCTTCAAGTAGGCCTACCATGAAAGAGGTTCTGCAGATACTTCATCGATGCAAGAACTTTAGGAATTCCGGAGGAAAATCACCAGATAAAGAGTATGATGTTGCTCCTCTCCTTGGCAACAACACCGAAAAGTACATTGCAAGTTACAAGCGTATTAATTCCAATAAGGTAATAGATGATAGTGATGATGGTCTACTAATCTCCACTGTGTAATACCAGAGATACTCTGAAAGTGGAAAATGCCAGTGTAATCTGAGTCTTTGTAAAATGACTATAGGATATAGGTCTAAGAATAGTGCCACTAAGTACAAGTTTGAGCATGTTGTAAGTTAAGGATAGATAACACTATAATAATGTTTTTCTTAGTGTATTTTGGATTTTAACAGCCCTATTGGCCTTTTGGAGCATCAATTATTTCTACTGCTTGTAGGTCAAATGAAATGCATCATATAACTTTTGCTAGTTATGGAGATGGAGATAATCAGAAAGTGGAAAATTGCAAGTACTCGAAAATGCCAATATAATCCGAGTAAACTGGCTCTAAGACTGTGTTGACTATAGTGCCACCGAGTAACATTAAGTTTGAGCATGTTGTTACTATAAGTTCCTCTTGAACCAGATCAAATCAATTTCACATATCGCCCCATTTTGTCAGGTGTAGAGTTGGTTGTCTTTCATATCAGGACATTGAGACCTAACACTTTCATCGTGCTATAAGCGACCAATTTCCAAGTCATGTTTCGATATGGACAATAGCTCTCGAGGATTAGACTCAACATTGGACAGAACTCAGAAGTAGAAATCGGAAGAGGTAAAGCGAATCCTATTGCACTGAAAACAAGAATATTTCATTCCTGGATATATCACAGTATTTACTACTCCCAGTATTCTGATGGCTCTCCTAAGATTCAAGAGATGGAAACCCACTATGAAGAATGTTAATGTTTCTTGAGCAATCTGGAATTAAGCACTCGCGTGGCCATTGGAACATGGACAATTCTATCCATCCTCTGGCCCCTCCTCTACCCAGCCAAGACTTTTTTTTATAATTTTGAGGGTTCCATCATTCATCAGCAGCTCCTGTTTGATCACTACTTGTAAATCAAATAACATGCTTCCACACTTGTATCGGATGTTGGACTGTTTACCCATTCAGATATTTGGCTGCAGTCATTTTTGCCGAGGAACCTAAGGCTTATGGCCTTACCTTGTGACCTCTTTTCCTGGCTAAGCATCAAATTCTAAAAAAAATTCATTAAGTCCTTGAGAAGGTCACAATTTGTCTAGTGGGACGATCCGTCACCTTTATTTTTAGACCTTTGGATGAGAGGAGGGCACGGACTCTTATTTTACCAGATTCTTTCATCTGGATCAAGAGGGAAGTCTGGAATAGCATAATGTCTCCATTCGCATAGGAATATAGACTGCTAAGATACCTTATCCCAAGATGTCAGGACTCTGTAAAGAGAGACTTCTCATCACCTGTTACAGGCACATAATATGAAACTATGAGTTGAGGAAAAGTAACTACAAATATACCTCAGATTTTTTACTATAATCTTGTCAGGTAATAAAAATTTTAAACAAAGGAGTACCATCTACAAAGACTAAGGTTTCCTACATCACAACATAAGGAAATAAGTCTCTTCCAGACCCTCGAAATAAAATAAAAAAATAAAAAAAAAATGTAGCCACTATCCTGTTTTACACTTTCTTTCTTTTTTGTTTCTGAACAAATGAAGCAGGACCCACATTGTATACAAAGGTCTCTTCTCGACGCTGGCTCTCGACTGCAGCAATAAGCAGGACACTGGTCTAGCTTCAACTGAAGAACCCACTGCAGGCACGGCTCCTGTTCTTTTCTTCTTTTTTGGTTTTTNCGCCATAATCAGCAACCTCTTCTCACATTAAAACGTGAGCTTGAACAAATCCAAACACCTCACCAACCATCTTCCGAGCAAGCATTTTCAAAAAGGCATTAGCTCTGAAACATGCCAATCTTTGGAACGCCTACCCAAATTCAAGCTGTTGATTCCAGACTCAACCTACTAGAAAGAAACCACGACAGGAACAAAGCAAGAAAGCATAAAGATAACATAGCCTATCAAATCATAAAACATAGGGCCACAGAAACACATGCCTTATTGCAGGCTCCTGCACAGCTTCTGAGCTTGCCCCATCCTGCGATTCCATTGCCCTTGCGAGAGAATGATTTGGCTAGAAAACAGAAAACGACAAACAATGAGTAAGTTCTCCATCCTGAAAATATACCAAATATAAAGCCAGATGCAGAGCAGCTATCCATGTTTCATAGCTAATTAGGGAAGTAGGAAGCTAGCAGAACACACCAGCATGTATTGGTCAGAGACCCGTGCGTAAAACCATCAAATTTAATTAATGATTTTTCAAAAAAAAAAAAAAATGAAAATAAAAAACGTTGCTTTTCGAGGAGCCGAGTATAGTCCAATCGTAAATCCAAGATCATGACATTCCCCAGCTCTTGTATTTTCAAGATTGGGATAGTCTCGACATGCTCACAATCAAAGAACCTAACTTCATGAATTTTCCACTACACAGCTGATGATATGACCAGCTCTTCAATAGTCCTAATAACCCTAACAAAAAGAAAATGAGATTGAACACTGGAAAATAGGCATGTGAACAGTAATAACAGAAACTCGTATATGCAGTATAGCTTTGATGAAAAATTGGTAAAAAGTAGACCAGAGACTTCTGCACTCCACCTGTGACTTCTCGGCCAAGCCATTACCCAAGACTCCATTCCCACTTAAACATCCATCCCCTAGTTGTGAAATCCGATCAGCCAAGCTTGTATCACCCTGAAAGGACTCTTAGCTCTCACTATCTTCAACACTTCCATAAATCACTGCCATCAGCTACAATTCAAGAGCCGAAACACGCAAACAGAGAGACTCACCTCGCAAGTGAGGTTCTGAATGTTGGAATTTGATACAGCCACTCTTTCACCTCTTTCTGCGCAACCAGTCAGTTCATTGAGCTGCCCAGTATTATCTTGATGAAATGATCCCAAAGTCTCCCCCTTCTCATCATTCTGCAACACCTGAAAAGTTTGGACATTTCTAGTGCAAATGTCTTGGAACGGACGAAGCATCTCCTGGCTTGGGAAGGATTTTGTGTTAGAACTATCTAAATCAACTTCTCTGGGAAGTCCGGATAAAATGGATTTCCTTGAGATAGTATAATTTAAACTAACAGGTGCACAAACAGAACTGTCGCTCAGAGAGGCATCGTTTCTGCTGCACCTATGTAATGAATTATCATCAGAAGTGTCCAGTAGGCAAGAACTCTCGAGCTCCTTCTGTGACTCGTCAGAAATGATTATCTGTGATGATCCATCAGACCTACTAGAACCACCTAGAGGAGAAACCGACCCTATCCTTTGCGGACTGATAGAAGCACGTTTCCCTAGTTTCCCCCAATTTACACCAACTGTTTCAGCTTCCTGCTTCCTCTTCGGATGCCTTTCTTCAGGAGACATGCAGCCTCTAGCAACTTTCTCAGGAGTACTATGACTTGCATTCCTAGATTGACGTGGCCTCTTATACCCATCTGGAAAGACAAATGGAGGAATTTGCTTCCTCCGAACATGAGATACATAGATATCCATGCCTGGTCTCCAATAAGTGTACATGCTTACATCTTGCTTAAACTCATCAACTGTGCCACGAATATCAAACTGCTGTCCTTCTTGCACTTTTACACCCTGTTTCCTCTGCAAGCCCATAAAAAAAGCACAATGTGGACATGGCTTAGACAAGTCTACAAATTCATTTGGATACGGATGGCACTGCAACATCCCATTTGTGTCACGCTCGATCTGAAATGCATCAAAGGATAAGCATGAGTTCCAGCAGTAGAATCACGACAACTGAATTAAAAGATTTCTCTCCAGAATTCTTTCTTTTTCCCTTTAGCGCTTACATTCTCATCGACATAATTAAACCAAAGAAAACAAAATATCATTATCCCGACAACTGAATTCGATTTTAACCTCCCAAAGTTCTTTCTTTTCCCTTTAATGCTTACAACTCTCACCTTTAGTGTTAGTTGTCTAAGCCGGGATTCCACCCAGCCTCTCCAAGCTAGCAAATCATCATTATCTGCCGCTACAATGTCAACCTGCAGATAGTTTTTGTACACCTCAAAGAAAAGATAATGCTTAAAAAGCGCCGCCCACTGTGCTTTATTCAACTCTATCTCCTGGATGAAAGAACCAAGTAAAAAGAGCAAGACTACCAATCAAAATGAGTAAGTACAGTGAAAATAGAAGAAAACAACACTGAATTTTGAGTCATACCTCACAAATCTTGTTACCAAACTGAAATTGGTCCATCATTACTCGAAGAGTACTTGGCGAGACATTATAGCTGGAGTTCATGCAAGGGTAAGCAGGAGTTATAATTGGCATATGATGAGTTCGGTCTTTTGGATTCTTGCGAGGATCCCAAACAAGAAAACCAAGTTCATCCTCTTCAATTGGGCATAGCATCACTGGATTTGGCCAACGCCATTGTGTATAAACTCTGAAGAACCTAGAAACAAGCATACTGGGGATGGCATTAGGATAAAACTGGCAAATGCGAGCAACCAAAAGAGCCCAATTGACACCACCGAGAAATCCGGTAACCTGAATAAAAGGGTGCACAAGGAGAAAGCAGAAAATCATGCTCACTAAGTGACCAGCTTATGAATACTATAGACAAACCAGTGAGGGGGTTGAAGGAATAAGAACTCACATTGGAATAAACACCACGCCTTTTTGCCCAAAACTTGAGACATCTGAGAGTCGTGCGGAAGTGCTACAAAATTTTGGAAAAAAATGGAAATTCAATGGTAATTTAAAGACACCATAACACGAGGAAAAAGTAGGATTACCTCAGCATTAGGTACTAGTTTCAATATTTGATCAGCAACCCGGCATCCATTGAGACTTCGAACAGTTGGCTCATCCACACTGTAGAGTACAGATTGATCTGAGATATCTAAATCCTGTTAACATACGAATTACAAGTCCGAGTTAAATGCAATTCGCAGCACATTAAACTCTCAAGTAACAATATTCAACAACAACATGAATACCTCTGAAGTACGGAAGGACATGAAATAAGGCAGACAAAGTACACATTTAAACAAGACAGTAATGAAGAAGCTGCTATACATCCACATTGATCAACTGAAACTATAAGGACTAATTCTCCATAAATTAGCTACGACAGTAAAGACCTTTCAATTCTAAAGCTTTTCAACACAAGGAAAATCTACTAAATAAAGGATATAATCCAACAGAAGAATGTTCCAACTTACTTCAGGGACAACTAAGAGAGATATACTTGCATAAAGGAGATCAATAGATATTCCTTGAAATTTGAATTTCATAACTGGGACATGAGCATCAGGAACTGGTTGAAGTTCACTAACTTCTTCCTTTTCAGCCAAAATATCATGCAGAATGATAAAGAAATCTTCCTGCAGAGAAAACAAAAGTAGAACAACTATCATGAATGGTTGTGATGAATCATCAGGCGGAGCAAAGTTTTGACCAGTACATGGGACTCACATCACGGTTGACATAAGAGGGACCAACACACAATGTGTCTATGTCAGCTCCAGGCCCATGAACCTGAAAACATACAATTTTTTTTTATCAGCTATAAAGCATACGATGTTGTGACCATCAACAATGAAACAGTGACCCACAGGCCATTCAGGTAATAAAAACAATAAATATATAACTTCGACATACTATCAGAATAACATACATAATGTGATTGCATTTTCTTTAGATACATGAATCTATTTCTAGTCCAATAACTACTTAACAAGATGCCAAACATCTGATTTCAAATGCTCATGTTGAAAAACCTGGAACTGAAACCAAAGAAAGACCTACTCTAGCCGCAACTTTAGCACCTAGTACCTAGATATGTTCATTTTTATTTCCAGTCACCCTATTATCCAAACCCTCAAGAACCCTTGGCTTTAAAGCAGGTTACTTTCATATAGTTTATGAACAATGCATTAATAAGCAAATATTTAAGTTAATTCACAGAGAGCAAAATACTGGCTGAAACATTACTTACTCCTAGCCGATAAGAACCAAAAGTGAATATGATAGCATTCGCATCCTCCACCATTTGATCAGTGTAGCCTCTCTGGTGAGTCAATTGTTTCACCCATGATTTTACAATCTACAGAACAATAGTAACCAGTCATTACAGCTTCTTCGCAATCAAATTACATCTGACCAATAGAAACATCAAGCACTTTAATTATGACCTAATATGATCCATGTGTACAGTGTACTAGTACCGACTCTCCAGTTTGATTATCCCATTTCATGATCAAATTTACTCAATATTCAAAGTGAAATTCAAACCACTTGGCTCATTTCCTATTTACAACTAAAAATCAGAAATCACATAAAAATACTAAAACAAGTATAATTTTTCCATCAAAAGATGCTTGAGAATCTTTAACCACAGATAAGAAATTTTTCATAAGTCAACTTATTCAAACAAGGGGAATAGATAATACTCTGCCGATTGTCACCTCAGTATCATGCCAAAAGCACAATCAGAAACAGCTTCAAGCCAAAGTTGTTTTGAAGATTAAGTTAACTAATCACCCTCCACCAATATGAGGTTAAAATTTTTATGACATAAAGAGACAGGTGCGGTAGGATGAGTAAATGATTTAGCACACTTAGAAGACTGTGAATGCACAGCATGTATCTAGCTCATGCATAAGAATTTTGTGCCTAAAAAAGCTTCAAGGAATTAGCTGACTCATCTGCAAGCCTATTCCAACACCAATGAGTATGGAGAACAAACGAGTTATAGGCTAAATATTGTAGGTGCACTCAAACACAGTAAATTCTAGGCTATGTATGGTAGTTTTACAATTTAAAAAAAAAACTAAGGAGAAATCTTGAATAACCAGAGCTTAGTTCAACTCGGCTAGATTACACCCTATCTAAAATCACCCGAATACCAAGCGCAAATGCTTTTGACACTACCATCAGTTTGCTTTTATTGATACGGTTTGATTCCCACACTCATATCCTATTGGACACCAATAATACACTAGTCCAATCTCATTTAGCTTCTTCATTGGGGTGGTTAAAAAAGTTCTCTCTCCTCTGAAGAGGAATACTAGAATTCAGATAACTAAAGTTCTTATTTTCTATATCTTCTTTTTCTCCTTTCTCATTTCACAGTCAAATTCAAAGAAGAGAAAGTTTTTGATGGCTTTATGCCTTACTGTCCGAAGCACGCTTCTTCGAAGTTGCTTCGCTTCATTCACACAATGCGAAAACCCCTAACTTCACATTGCTTAATTGCTGCAAGCACGACAATCGCCTTTTTAAGAAAAATATGAATTTCAAAAAGCACAACAACCAATTTTAATCATTGTATGAAAAATTACACACAATACTGCTTAATAATTACAAATCATACCTGACCAACTTGTAACCACCCTATCTCAGCTATTAAAGATGAAATATTCGTATTTTCTTTAATTTTAGGTCACCAAAATGTCCCCTCAAGAAATGGTTTACTCTTTTTCTTGGCTGGTTGATACCTGGTGAGACTCAAACTCAAGGCCTTCGGTTGCTCTCATATCATATAAAAATAGAAAAGAGCATCTTACTCATGATTTGGTCAGCCCGGATGGTTTCAAACAAAACATTCATACACACACACACACAATGATTGTCCAATGAAGTTACCAAAAAATGATTGTCTAATAAGGGAAAAAATCTAATGTAAAACACACATTTACCAGATTGAGTTGTGTGAACTGTCTCATTTAAAAGCTTTTTTAATCAAGCTCATCTAAAAGCTCCTCAACATGTACTAAAGCCTCGATAACCTTGGAAGAGAGTTAATAGCTTATACCTACTGGCAGATGACCTTGTCTGCCCCGCCGGCTATAATTTTCTTTATTTTCATAATGTCACTACTTTATTCTTCTATGTGGAATCTGGTAACTGTTCTAGCAGAGCTTTTAGCCGTCTCTTCTAAAAGCTCTTCTTTTTAAATCAAGCTCATCTAAAAGCTCCTCAACATGCATTAAAGCCTTAATGCTTTGAGAGCAAGTTTAAGTAGCTTATGCCTACTAGCAAATGGCCTTATACGCCCTTCCGGCTAAAATTTTCTTTACTTTCATAGCTTCACTATTCTTCTCTATTTTTATCTTGTAACCATTCTAGCAGCACCACTCTTATTCTCAAGGACCCAAAGCACCATGCCAGTTTTCAATGTCGCACATACCTCTTTCATTAGTCATTCCAGTAGCATGCACCTCTTTTCAGAGATCGTTCCAGTGACACATCATTTTTTGCAATAACCATCTCCGCAACACCCCGCCTTTTCCAATAAGAGTACAGGCAAAACCACCTTACCCAACCACTATTCCGAGAACAAAACTTTCACACAACATTCCTGCTATCAGAACTTTTCCAGCTACTTTAAAGACAAGTTCTCGCACAACTATTTTTTTTTAATAGTTTAAAGTAAGCAAACTACTGTTGATTACCCCACTTAAGTTTGAGGGAACGTATAAGAAAGTACAATATGTTAAAACGGTAGAATTTGACATTAAAAGAGCTAGGTTCTTCAGTTAGTTATGTGTTGGAATGAGTATTTTGTATATAAAACTAATATATAGGTACATCTTTTATCAGTAAGAGTGTTCTTTTCTCTTCTTCTTTTCTCTTTTCACACAAGCTCTATGGTACAACATCAATACTTGGAACAAAAATTCTTTCACTTTGACAATAGCTACACAGCTTTTGTTTTCTATTGTATTCTGCCATGCACTCTAGCCATCACCATGTAAAAGTACAAAACAACGTTAAGGCTTGAATTCAACCCCAATCACTAGGGCACTAAATATATTCTGTCAGGCATCCTATTTCCTGTCCCATACCTCTTTTCAAAATCCCTAGAATATGGAATAATCCAAAGCGCAATAAGACCCAAATTCATCTAATTTTTACAGACCCTTTAGGATGAAGAGCTGGCCGACAAGTATGGACGCCATCATGATTATTAGCAATGCCCTCAAAAGCAGTTGTTTTATTTCAGAGCTCAACAAGAAAGTTTTCATTTATTCAATTCCACCCTAAGCTAAGAACTGAAACCGAAAGGCTAAACATCAACATGCCCAACGAAAGAAGAAAAAATCTTTTTAACTTCTCATACAGTTTTTCATTTGCTAAAACACATGTTAACAACTCATGCAAAAACTAAAGGAAAATTACTGCAACAGATTAAGTCAATACTCTACTAAGCTTCAAAATTTTACCTGATCAAGCTGACGCAGCACCTCTTCTCTCCTTTCTGTTTCTTCCTCGCTCTCATACAACCCTGAGTCCTTCAAAAACTACCCCAAAAAAGCTCAAAATTCAGTACAAATTCATAGGCAAAATTGAATTTTTATTACTATATGAACGCAGAAAAGAGTTAAAAGGGGAAAAAGGTTCACACCTTTTCTAATGATGCATTTCTTTGAAGATCTGCATCGGTGGGCCCCGCACTAGACAAAGGCTTCGTGACACCATACTTCTTCAGCGGCGATGGCGCCGCCTCTGGTCGCGACGGCGTTAAGCTCTCGGAACCCACCATCAATTTCCAAAAATAACCCTCAGGAATCAACGAATTACGAAATCAATAAAAGACGAAAAATCAAAACTTCACAGATCAGGCCTACAGAATGGCCAAACGAGAAATTGAGTGAAAAAGGTGCGGAATTTCATATCTGTTTCGACTGGAAAAAGAACAAATCAAAACCCTAAATATGAAAGAAAAAGCGTCTGTGTGTGAGAGAGAGAGATAGAGAGATCTGGGGAGAAAGAAAAGGGTGGAAGTGGAGAAGATGGGAAAAGGGGTCAATGAAAGCGGTATTGGGGTTTTCCGGGGTGGTTGAGCCCAAGCCAAAAAGAGGTAAATTGTTTTGGATTAGTAGTCAAATTGGTCAAGTAATTATAGTACTACTGGTAAATCTATATTTTCATTACATATATATTCCATATCATCTAAATTTTAAAAATATAAAACTCCAATTCAAGAATGATATATAAAAAAAATAAAATATACAAAAGTTTATAAAAAAAATTAAATATATAAAAGTTTAAATGGTTAGTCTCTAACACCTTCAATTGGTGATGCCGAGGTGGTTTTGTTTGACCAACTTTATTGTTTGTATATTTTTTATAAGCTTTGAAATAAATGATTTCTCGTGGATTGTTCTCTCGAATATTTAAATCTCATTTTTTAGATTTTAATGTACAATATCTAACACAAAATCTTCATAATCATAGAATATACAGGTACGTAACATGCATTTCTTATACTTTTCAAAAGACATGTCCAACGTCACAAAATTGCTCGTTAAACTTGAGTAACTCATCGAATTTGATACTTATTTTATTAGACTTCATATATCTTGCAACACAACTAATGCCTAGTAGTATAATTAATTTGTTTCCAATACCATTCTCATAATCTTATTTTAACAATTAATGTTGGCACTTTCTGTTGGCACATGTATCGGGACCTAAACTGAATTAGTTAATTTTCTTTTCAAGAATATCAATTGTAAAATAGTAAAAAACATAATAGTTCCCAAAATAAAAATGAGTATAAATTCCGTTGAAACATAGCCAATACAGAAGCTTAACTCAATATATTCTCAATGAAAGCGAGAATTGAAGAAGCAATATGAATGGCTAGAGGATAAGGGAAGAAACTTGCGGATAGAGCCATTGCAACTGTAAGAATTTTTTATTCTTTATAAATATGGATTATGATGAAAGGTTGTAACGGTCCAAAAATACGGAATATTAAAGGTTGAAACTATAACAACCATTTTATTTACATTTATAGATAATCAGCTAAAAACTTCTATTAATAAATTTTTTATATATAATATTTACATCTATAAATAATCAGCTAAAGAATTTTAAAGAAATGTTAATTCTTTAATCTTACTACTTTTCACTAAAATATACATTTACAAAACTTGAGAAACCTATTGCATTAGATAGAAAGGCAAAGAAGCACATGTAAGTATTCTTTTATGTTACTACACAATTACCAAAAAAAAGTATTGCTCTCTCTTCCCATGGAGAAATTCGGAAGGAACTACAATTATTTACCACAAACTATAAAGTCAATTACTTGATGTTGTTCCAATTCTCCTCTGAAGATTATACATTGACAAATTTTCCATCCAAGCAATCTGCAGATCATATCAATATTCAGTTATGTGATAATTTTCATACAATATAACAATCAAAAGCAAATCGGCAAAAAGAAAGATAAAAATAAAGTGTTATTGAAACTCTTAATTCTTTCAATAAACTTCAAGGATTATATGAAAAAAACTTGTGAAAAGTGAGAATTAAAAATTATAGTAGAAGAATGGTCAAGACGTCGATTTATTGGTGCATAGTTATAATTCTACTTCAACAGGCTCCATGAAATTGATATATTTTAAACAAAACAAATAGTGACATACATGGTGTTCTTCTACAATTTCTGGTTAGTCATAGTCCCTTCTCCATTTTCATTTTCACTCACAGGGACGGCAGTAAAATAAAAAAAAAATAAAAATAAAAAGCCTGAAGCTACTACTTCCAAATTCAAATTCAATTGAGGAAATCAAACATAAATTGCACAAACTAATAAATATCAAGTAAAACAAACAAAATAATATAGGATTAGAATTGGATATCTGGAAAGCAAAATACTTATATTGGAACACTCCTCGAGCATTGAAATTATTTTTGAGCTATTGGAAAAAAACTAAAGCAAAGAAAGAAAGCAGAGAGATTTAAAGGGAAGAAATAAATAGCAATAATGCTGATGTTTAAGTGGTTGAAAAATTGTAACGGAAAAAAAATAGAAAACGTTTTAGGAAATAAGATTAGTAGTATATTAATGATGAAAGAAATGAAGAGGCATGCTTAATTGTTAATAAAATTTAAATGCAAAAATAAGGGAAAATGTATAAAATCTAAGAAAAAAGATAAATGTTGATCCTTGCCAAAGAAACATGTCACATCATCTTTTATTTTCCCAACTTTATTATAGATATATAGATTTGTTTCTAATAATCTTTCCATATCCAGCTGGTCTTCTCATATTTACTGCTACTTAATACTTTAGTATGCTGGGACTACTTTTTTTTTTATTTAATTATTTTTCTTTTTGTGAATGGTGTGTTCTTTTCCTTTTAAATAATGGTGACGGAGCTAATTTGTAAACACCTCGGAAAATAATGAGTATCTAGTATCTGTCCCGTTTATTTTAATTGATTTTTTTTTATGTTTTTACATATATTAAGGAATTCATCATTTAGTACTAATTAACAATAAAATTAATCATGTTAATCTTAATTTGTTCATCGAAAATACAACAAATACTCCTAGGCAACTTTGGAAAAATAAGGTTATGTGAAAATTAAATATTATGGACCATTAAAAAAAGCTAAAAAATCAATTAAAGTAGACCGAAGGGAGTACCTTTTGCTAATATTATCAAATAACTCTATCCATCTAAAATTTAAATAAATAAAAAGTATCATCTAGTATTTTTTACATTGGTTGTGTGTATTTTTCTCTATTTGGAGAAAAGAAACAACAACAACCCGGTGAAATTCCACAAATGGGGTGTGGGGAAGGTAGGATGTAGAGGCGGATCCAGGATTTGAAATTTATAGGTTCAGGATTATAATCTGTTTAAGTTAGTGGGTTCTAAATTGATAATTCGTACATATTTAATAGATTTCTTAAGATAAATACATGGTTTGGATTAAAGATACTGAGTTCGTCCGACCCTGTATCTTGCTTGCTAGCTTTGCCCCTGTTAGGATGTACACAACGTTACCTCTATCTTGGGAGGGTAGAGAGATTGTTTCCGATAGACTCTTGGCTAAAGAAGATGGAAGAAGCGCTTATAGCAATTCATAGCAAGATAATATATTAGGAAAATAAATTTGTGGATACACAAAATATTATGAATTAATTTTATCCATAGTCATTGAACTTTTGTGTTTGTTACCCAAAAGTCATTTTTCTTTTTTTTTTTGTTACATAAAAATCATTCAACTTTGTGTTCATTACACAAAAGTCATTTTCTATGTTACACAAAAATCACTTTACTTTGCTCTAGTTATCACAAAAGTCACATTTTTTCTTGAAAAGTCTATTATATCCTTGATATTATATAAACCTTCATATTTATGTAATACCTTCTATATTATATACTATATAATATATTTTTAACTATGTATTTTATTTATAAATAAAATAACTTAATATTATTTTTATAATATATTCGCATATTTAATTTTTACTTAACGTTAATTTTCGAAATAACGTTAAGACAAAAGTTGTGGACTAGGATAAATGTTAAAAACGTTTTCCATAGACTTCGATGCCGATCCATGATGAATGATTTGCGCTGCAACCTTTCTGTCTTGTTTTGCATATTGCTATTTAGCTAAGAAAAAAACAAACTTTAAAAAATGAGTGTGAAAGCATTTCGCTGAGTTGTTCTCCATTTCTTTCAAGACCTTTTGTATTTTAGTTAGTATACGACTAAAAATCTCGTTTCATTAGCTTCTCAGCATGTGTTGTATGTATCTCCCGAGTCATGTATTACACAATTTTATAAAATGACATTAATATATCAAAATAAAACTTTGAATAAATAATTATACATGAATGAATTGAGTACAAATTTCTGAAAATGATCAATAATGTGGATTGTCATGTGACGACTTGTTTGTCGAAGTCAAGCATTGAATATTGTCTGAACCTACGAAGATGATCAATCAAATTTTAATTAGATATGTGTGCTTGTTTTTACTTATTTTGATTTCATGAGTTACACGACATGTAATAACGCAGCTCAGGTCCTCACCTAATATTCATTATAATTCGCCGATATTTATTCTCTTTTGTATTCCAGATCCTATATATGTATATCATATATGTATCTAATATGCAATCTATGTGAAGAAGAATTAGTGTCTGGTGTTCTGTAGTATATTCAATAGTGTGCGTAGTTTGTTCATACAAGCAGGGGAATTGTTGCAGATAGTGTCTTGGCACAAAATTTTGTGCAATCTTACAAGAACGGTTGCTGGACAAGGCCATGAAATGCATTTGGTCTAATGCATTACTATTAACAAAAACAGAGAAGAAAATTAAAATTCCCATTAGACAACCTGGAGGAGAAAAGCCTTAATTCTTACTGTTGTTTTGCATCATGGATTTTAGTTTACCATTGGTTGGTGAACTTACAAATCTTGGCTACTATTCGAATTAATTATCCCATAATCATTGCTATCTAGAATGATAGGTTGAAATGTGAAAGAGAAAACATTAAGATAAAGGACTATAAATCAGGGATTACTTACTAGGACCAATCTATCTATATATTTTAATTAATATAAAGGAGGGCAAAAGGAAGGCGAAGTTGGTGGTTATTGCGGCTAAGACCAAGGCATTTAGTCGTTTATACGAAGAAATTGGGGATAAATATGGGGACAAGAAGCTGTACAGGCTGGCGAAGGTGAGGGAGCAGAAGGCCCGAGATCTGGACCAAGTGAGGTGCATAAAAGACGAAGAGGGTGGAGTTTTATTGGAGGGGGCACATATTAGGCAGAGATGACAGTCTTACTTCCACAAACTCTTGAATGAAGAGGGAGATAGGAGCATTATGTTGGGGGAGTTGGAGTACTCGGATCGACATCGAGATTTTGGGTACTGTAGATGCATACGAGTGGGGGAGGTTGTAGGGGCTATGTGCAGGATGAGTAGGAGTAGAGCGACCGGGTTGGACGAGATTCCGGTAGAATTTTAGAAGCGCGTAGGTAAGGCGGGCTTGGAATAGCTTTCTAGGTTATTTAACGTTATTTTTAGGACGAAGAGAATGCCTGAAGAG